TTCAAAGTTATTTTGGTAAATATATATATATATATATATATATATAGACAATTTCTTCAATGGATCATGCACGCTACCCTTGAATAGATCAGCTTAACTCGATTTCTATGACATAATGTGAAAGTCTTTGTAAAACTAGTCAAGCAAGAGATTATCAAAAAATATATATATATATATATATGTACTGTGTAATATTTGGTATAATTAATAGCTAGGATTAGGATCTAATGTTAGTAACATGAATAAATTAACGTATAATTCAACTGATTCTATATTACTAACAACGAGGTTATATGTGGGTCAATTTCCATTGATTATAGTAAGAGGGTTTTAATGTTATAATATTAATATAATGAGATTTTTTTTTTCATCTTTTTACCAACCAAAACCTGCAAGCAATTTAAATATGCTTGAACGCAGAACTTATTCAAGAATCAGATTTTGCACCCTGATTATCTGCATTTCTGCAGGATTGCAATGAAGCAGTTGAATAGGGTTTAGGGCTTAATAATGGGACTTTGTTCCCCTTTCTAGACTCAGAGCAAGATATTTTAATGGTAATTCCTAGATCACTTGAATTTTGGAGACTCATGTAGTGGCTTCTTTAGAGTTAAACTTTGAGCTTGTTTGGTTAATGATAATGGTTATTTATTAATTAAGCTATAAAAACCTCTAATGAGATATTTCAAATAGTTAAGAACATAGGAATTTCAAATTGAACATTTTAAATTCAAATCTGAATTTTGAGTCGGGTGAAAAAAGAGAAGGAAAAAGGAAAGATTAAAAGCTATTCTTGTTATATATCCTATTATTTGGTATATCAAAAAAATTAATCAAACTATAAAAATGAGTTAAAATTGAGAAAATTTCATAGGAAATTAAGAATAACTAGGCTTTAATGTCTAATTTTCATTTTATTTTAGTAAAAAAAAAAAAAGAAATTCCCTTAAAAAAATGGAAGGAAACATATCTTATTATTCATTCCCTAGAGCTTGTTTGGTTGGTAATAATGACTATTATTTAGTCAACTATAAAAACAAGCTAAAACAAAAAAAAACTTTCATAATAACTTAGCAATAACTAAGCATTAATGTCTAGTTTTTCTTTTATATCAGCGAAGACATTAACAAATAATTAAGGAACATATATTTTTTGAAATTAATGTGTACTAGTTATGATTTCTAACAAAATTGGAGTTTTAACGTATATTTAAAAACTGAAATTTCAATTCAAAATTTAAAACTTCAATTAGTTTTCAATTTTAAATATCAATATTTAATAAAATAAAATTTTAAATTTTAAATTAAATTTCAATTAAATAAAACTACATAATTTAATATTAGAACTCCAGTTTTTTAGATATCAATATTGATATGCATTTTTTCTCATATTTAAAAAAAAAAATAGAAGGAATTTACATTTCACATACATGCTAAAATGTTGATAAATTAGAAAAAGATAGGTAATAAATTACAAAAGTATGCATATAGGGGAGAACAATTTGAGGAAAATCTAAAAGAGAAATAAATTAACATATAACATACATAAATTAAACATGGCGGTATGTACCCAAAAAAAAACATTAAACATGGCGGTATGTACCAAAAAAAAAAAACATTAAACATGGTGGATTGATTTATGATTCTATACTGTTACTCTTGCATCTATGTTATACAAACACAACATTAAAAATTAATTAAACTAAATAAAATTATAATATTACTTACCAAACAAGAAAGAATTGATTTAATCTGAAGTATTGTGATTGTTAATCTCAAATTAAAGTACATTAATAAAATCTTTGCTGGGAGCCAAGGCTTACATCTCTCCAATGAAGACCAATAACTTAAAACAAAACTAATAAATTTGTGTAAGCGGAACTTGACTCAACATGTACGTCTGAATTGAAAAACAATTCGCGTAGACATGAAGAAATTAATCTTGATTGATCCAATGGTTTCTAATATACATTTCTTCAGGTACAGTTCGCTTGTATCCGTGGCGTGGATCGTCTCCCCTGTTTACTTGGATGATGATTTACAGATTTTCCTGTAAATCCCAGTAATGAATTCAGACGTGTTTGTGTATTTTCCTGTTTTTTACATTCCGCTTCCGGTGGAGCTCTGAATTGTAGAGTGTAAACTTAACCCCAACTGAAGATCCAATGATTTGCAACTCTGTTTTGAAGCCTGAATCGGCAGAGCTGTCCTGATCCCGACAGCCCTGTCTGATCCTGACCTGTTAGTACCTTGTGTAAGAGTGAACGCACCTGAAGAATCCTGTCGGAAAGGGATCACCGGAGCAGCAGAGTACCAATTCGACGCATGATCTTGATCATACTGTCCGAAACTGATCTGGGATTCTTCGTACAGGGTAAACTGATGATGTTGATCGGAAGTGCTGCTGGAAGGATCAAAATACAGGGGAGCACCTGAAACAGGGGAAGTGACAATTCCGAGGCTGTTCTGGAAAGGTTGAAGGTAGTAATTGATGCTGGCACGCCGAGCTTGAAGCTGCAGCCTCTTCTTCTTCATCCTCTCTTTTTTGTGAGCATTCTGGTGACCCCCCAACGCTTGAGAATTTGCAAATTCCTTCAAACAGTACTGACACTCGAACTTCTTCGAGCTCTTATCGGCGGCAGTAGTCTCCGGTTTCTCACTCGCTGGAGAAACCACCGTGTTTGATGAATTTACACTTTCATGATCAGCTTCAAAAACAGAGGAGCTCTGTTTGTTATTGTTTGGGTTGAGCTCGAATCCAAACAGTTTCAGCTTCTTCTCGGCAGAGGAACAGGTGGAATCATACCCGTTTTGGGCGTCGCCGGTATGAGAAACAACGCTGGAAGCATCCCTTTCCATGATTTCCGATGAATGAGTAAAGAAGTAAAGAAGAGAAGATATTTTTGTGGTGAGAAGCGATGAGGTTGTATGGGTTTGAGTTGGTTTTTATAGTAATTGTGTGGTGTTCCAACGGTGCATTGCATCTTAAAACAGGAATTGTTTTTGTAAAGATGAATAGCATAAACGTAAGCCTAGAGTCAAATTAATAAAGATATAAAAATATTAGTCAGATAAAGAAGCTATCTCATGCCATTTCTTTGTTTTTAAAATGCAAGAGGTGGAGGAAACTTAAAATATTTTAACAATTAAAATGTTATAAATAATAATAAAAAAAATTAAACTAACATAATTTTAAAGTATTTTTTATCTTATTTTTTATAAATTTAATTGATAAACATAATTGCAAATCTAAGTTATAAATAACAATAAATATAAACCATTCTATGTTTAGAACAATTCTTATTATATACATTAAAGGGTTAGTTGCGCGAAATTCTTATTGGTGATATTCAAAACAACTAAATCAACAGAACCTTGATATTTGCCCTTCTGAAATC